TAGGCAAATATTCTTATATGTGAGATATATTTCATATCTCATTGGCCAGTGTTAAATCAGTCATTTTCTACATATTATTATAGTCTGTCAAAATACCCTGATAAAATCACTTTTTGAATATGATATCAATTTACGTCTGGTTTCCATATACGTCCCATAGTTTTATACGGAATCAAATTACAAATTTTGTATTAAGATTCAAATAAAGGGATATATAAAAAATTACATGTCAAAATCATTGATGTTAGCTGAAACCTGTATTTCACACTGGAAAATTTTCGGAAAGAATTTGATATCACAGTACTATATTTGATATCAAGTTTTACAATAAACATTGAGAATGTTATGATAAAATCATTGCAATTCGACACAAAATCAATGAAGTTAGATATATAACCATGTACAAGTTTCTGTATCTACATATTTTCACAATGTTTGCCTAATAGCGTCTGCCGTATCTATAGAAAAACGGCTTGTAATAGGCCACTGTAAATATGTCTATATATTAAATAAATAAATAATTCCATGCTGTTCGCTATCAGTTTCTTTACTTGTAATAGGGTTTGTAAGCGAACAGCATGGATCCTGATCAGACTGCGCGGATGCGCAGGCTTGTCTGGATCCATGCTGGTCGCAAACGCACTATGTTGGTTTAGTCATGACGCGGCTCACATATTTAATACTGTAAATATATCTATATATTAAATAACAGAATATCACTCATAGATTCAGAAATAATATTAAGAGAACATGTGACTTTTATTTAAGGGACGGTCTTTAAATATGAAATTGGATAAAGTGTTATATAAAAAAGTAAGTTTTGTGAGTTACAACAAAATGTGATGTTTTTGTTGTTCTTTTTCTGCAAATTATTGATTTTTTTGTGCAATTTCAAATTTTAATATGAATTGATTAAGGAATATTTTTCTTTTCATCATCCACAAGGAAATGTGAATTATATTCAACGTGACCTTTTAACCACTGAAAATTCCGTCCGAAACTTCATTTCATTTTTTCTTCCTCTAAATTTGTGTTATTAAAGTTAAGTTGAGGGCAGTTGTTTATATATAGAGGGAACTTATTTTTCTTATGACTAGAATAAACACTATTCTGTTGTATGTAATAATGAAACTATTTTCCCACCAGGTACACTGTACATGTCGCTTGTGTTACGTTTAAGAGAATGTTTGCATCCTTTTTAAGAAAAAGATCTTAGTGAGCAAAGTCAAAAAAATGTCTGCATGTAAAGTTTTTTTTTTATATTTTGTATCCTTGAACAAAAACATGTTTTAATGATTTTGTTTAAAAAAACAGCAACCTCGGATTATGTTCTAAACGGAGACGATTTTAAAACAATTACAGGGAACGATGGGAGATTAATTTACTTGATGCCTGGACAGGTGTGTTTTAGTAACTCATATATGTGAACATTTCTGTTTCAGAAGGAGATTAGTCTGATGTCACGACCAAAGATGTGAGTTAATCTGACGTGGATTTAAATACCTGCCAAAACAAACAACCATCTGCGAATTGTGATGAAATTGGAGGAGGAAAAGAAATAGCGTATACTTTTTTGTAGAACGACTTCATAACTTTAAACGTTATGATGTGGGATTGTTCTGTTTGGATTTTTATATATAAAAAAGGATACTTAAAGTTTCACTGATGATATCATCGTCACAGAAGCCGAAGTAACACTTCAACCAAGCGAATTATTGCGTAACAAAATAGTGCAGTAATGTGTGATTAACTGTTAAATTTGCTTGATATATTGCCTTGGAGTTTCAATTATTGTGACAAAGATAAATTGTAAAGATTTTTCAATTTCAATTCACGTGTATTAATAAAATACATACAGGAACTTTAAAAAGAATTCAAAATCTTCTCATGAAATAAAATTTCTAAGTATCAAATAACTGTCATATAAAATGTAAATATTTAACCAGCACAAATAGTGAAGTGCATATAAATTACGTACAAGAGAATGAAAAGCCATTTTGGTAGTAGATAACCGGAAGAAATTGCGTAACAGTGCAATAAAGAAAAGTCGGGGTAAATAAATTTTGATTAAACTCCACCGCGGAATTGAATACAAACTTGAATTGTATTGTAGAGATTAGCTGATAAGCGTTGTGGATAACTTGGGATGTTACTATCGGAATAGATCGGCTGTGGATAAATATTTGTAAGCTAACAGAAAGTTTTTGTACAGCAACAAAAATAAACTCTGACTCCGCTTGGATTGTATGGAATGCACGAGTAAATGGACTTTTGACCGACTTCGTATGTTACGGTGTAGGAGATATGCATGTTGCTTCGTGTTTCTACAAGAATTCCATCCACCAGAGCAGTAATATTTGTTTATTTGTAATTATGTTATTTATTTAGTGAATCCGACTAAAAATAAAGCATTTAGGCTGATGGTTTCTAGTAAGAGAGACTTATAGACTCGTGAAAATATAAAAGAACTGAGGCTTGTACAATATATTCATTAACGGTGAAAGGCATTGTAAACTGTCCGAAACAACAATAGAGAAAGAGGGGAAAATATTCATTATATGCCTCTCTACTTTTACATCAGTTTAATAAATGTTAATTAAAAAAATCTATCGCATACAATCAGACAGAAAAATGTATTGACTATTCACGTCTTAAGTTATATACAAGACAAGCGACGATTGAAGTAAATACAATGAATATTTATTAGAGATATATTGTTTGGTTTTATTAACCTGTCAATTACATACTGATTACACGGTCGATGCACACAGTATATTAAACTTCGGTAGATTTTCGGTAAGTTCCGTGAGATGTACGCTGTACGATAGAATTTAATTTAATTTGTATCTCTCAACAAAGTGTACTCAGCGTTATAGCGCAATAGGGTAAAGCATGAGTTTATACTCTAAGTGCCACACGTGTTTTAAGTTCGAGACCGCGTAGGTCTATGTTTTTATTTTCTTATTAATACTTTCAACAATATTGGAGCTATATATGATTATTTTATGTTGTTCGTTTTGTTTTATTATGTTTTACTTAATTTTTTTATATCTATATTCTTTTTAAATAACATGTTTTAAGAATTCATGTTTAAAATTAAAACGGATTTAAATCAATATAAATGTCTTTTCAATGCTGTAAAACACACTACAAACTGTTCCATTAAAATATACGGCAAAAATAAAGAAAGAGTACTAAAACAATGGCAACAGCAAGGATCGAACCACAGACCTCTAATTTAGAAGGCATTCTCTTAACCGACTGTACTATAGTGAATTAACGAAAACCTTCACATTAAGCTGGCGTGACTTTCAATCCATGACTAATATACTCCACATTAATTCTCGTAAACTACACGGACCAAACCGAAGTGGGATCGAATATTTAAATGAGTTCTATAATGTATGCATAATTGACAGGTCAATAAAATCAGACTATACACACGGCATAACATTGTAAATATAATCAGAAGCACCTGTCTCGTGAGTAATTTACCTATGAGTGACACTTCACCAGTATATTTCCCGTTATTAGTGTTTCTATGGATCATAATAACCGGTGATTATCTGATTTAATGGATCGCACCTTGGTGGAACTACAACCTGAACGAGCATATATTGAGCAAACCCCCTGCTATTAAAAACGAGTCCTGGAATGTAATAACGGACAAAAGCAAGAGTTTAGATATGACTGATAAGCCTTTTTTGACTTTGAATTGATGTGAGACGATCCGATCATCAGAGTTGTATAAAGAAGATACAACAGAGAGTGTTCATTAGAAAAAAACAAAAACACGGAACGGAGTTTTTAAACTTTCGCTTTATTAGGAGGGGACTCTACGAAGTTCCGGTTAATAATCACTATATCTTAGGTATTTGATACTATATAGATGTTTTAAATGACTATAAATTCAATCCTGCATAATATTATTACATAAAAAAGTGACGAACGTTGAAAGAAACAGTTTCATTTTTATATTGATATTAATAAACGAGAGTGCTTTTATGATTTATGTGTAGATATAACACTTGGAACCATCAGCGGATTGGCTGTCTATAATCTTAGCTCGCAGAATGAGCAGAATTTGCAGATTCATGATGAATGCTGAAAACACACGGATAACTGATCTGAGTTAATTAGGAGAACGGAAAGCCAATTTCTTGAAGATTGGAAATCCAGAAATCCAGGTTCATGCAAATAATTATATAAACATAATCACTACACAGAACGTTCTGACAAATTAGTTTTCATGAGTTTTACCTCTAACAAATTACTTTCCATGATTCAAACATCGCCGAAAGTAAAATACAAAAAAATGACTCTGAGAGCAAAATGAACATGTGCTCAGTATAATTTGATCTTCACAGACAGATAAATAAAACAGGCGCACCTGATAAACGACTCTCCTATTCTAATGTGTCGAAACAATCATTGGTTAAAATTATTACCTGGAATTTGAATTTAAAACTCTGCGGGATTGAAAGCGAAAGTAACAATTTATCAGTTAGAGCGATATAAAGTTGCTTTTTTCTGAGCTAAGATAATCTTTATTTGAGTGTATAGAGACGAACGTATTCAATATTCCATTCTGTGTTATTATACATTTTATCAAAAGAGAGGAACGGATATAATTCGATTTCTCATATTTTTCAAAGAGCTGTATTGATAATAAACTCGGGGATAATTTTCTTGCAATATGATGCAATTTATTTGAGGAAGCTTGTTGTTGTATGGATATTCAAATCATCTGAAGAAGAACCTAGGCTGAATAAGGAATATTAAAGTTTTTACAGTATAATCAATGATATCGGTTGTATCAGCGTGTATCCCCGTTGAAGACCATTGTGCAAATTTTGCAGATTGCATCTATTATATACTGTGCCAAAACGATGATATCTCAGAGTAAGTCATTCTGTCGGGAGTTCTTAAGATTAGAATCACCAATATTTGTACATTTAAACACGTGCCAGGTTATTAGTTGGATTAATTTGTAAATAGAAATGTCATCTGCGTTAAATGCGGATAAATCGTTTCCTAACAAGGTAGTTTTGCACGAGCACAATAAGCCAACAATGGGGACAAGTTATGTTGGTCCGAAAACAAGAATTATAGTTAAACGAAATATGATATTGAAAGAAAAGTCGAAAGAGACTGAGTCGACTTTGCTGGATAAAAAGATAAGGAAATATGACAGGGCTCCAGTTAGATCTAAAACGCAACAAATAAGTAGAGAAAATAGTAACATAGCGGAGAAGAAAAATATATCAAAATCGTCGAAATCGGAGAAAGGCTTACTCAAGAAATCAAATTTAAGTAAAACTAGTGGCTTAAACGATAGGAATTTGTCAAATTCAAATGATGTAAATGACATTGTGAGTGAAAGAAATACAAATGAAAGTGATATTATAACGACGGAAAATTTGTCAAATGATTGTGATTCTGGATTAATGAATCTATTATCAGATGCAGAAACGCACATTAATGGACCTCAAAATAGTGATGAAACGTGTAAACACAATGACATAGACAAAAGTGTATCAAAACTAGGTTTGGAACTGTCTCACACTTCCGTAAGTTCAATACAGAACGATGTAGGGACACAATTACAACACGTTTTAGAAAATAGTTCATCAAATATGTTGCATATAGAAAATTGCGAAAGTGAAAACAAAGAATATACATTTATGAATGTGACGCCAGCCACTAGTGGTATTCGCAGACAAACATCGCTCAAAAAATCAATTCCAAAACCACAATCTGTGATCTTAGACAGCTGTGATGATTCTCAGCACAAAAACTTTGAAATTTCAGATGCAAATAAAGATATTTTTCACATTACGAACTCTTCGGATCTCATGCACCATAATTGTAACATGGAAAGTGATTTAGATCAAATCGAGGGTGTGACAGCAGGTACTTGTAAACAAACAGAAAATGTTCTATCACTTAACAAGGAATCTATCGAACAAACAGTATCTTTATCAAAAAGTACGAAATTATCTGCACAAAATGCTAAGCCAGGAGAAAAATCGCAAAAATCATATTTGCAGGGAAACATTCCAAGTTATCTTAGAATGACGTCAAGTGCCGCTAATAAAGAAATAAAAAAGAAGTCTGAAATCAAACAGCGGTCAGTGACTCGAGAAAATAATTCTAAATCGTTTGTCAAGCAAAGTGATAAATACTCAAACAAGACAGACTTAAAACGCAGTGCAACTAAAGACCTACAGTCTATGTTTATAAACGGAATACAATCAAGTGTAACAAAAACCACTTCTCGTGACACAACCTTTGTAGATGATGCATCAAGTCCAGAAGATTTAACATTGACATTAGGGTATGACATAGACAGTAAAAATGAAACATCAAATGATCCAAATATTACACAGGTAAATAAGTTTTCTTCTCAGTCGCAGAATCATATAAAAAAGGAAATAAATCAGAAATGTACGAAATCAAGTTCAAAACAGACAGCAAAATTACCTGTAAAAAGCAAAACAATAATACCTCGAGTATCAGTCGTTAAAAGTAAACAAGCAACAGTAAACATACGGCCGCGTTCTTTGACGCCAAATGATTCAAAGCCTAAATCAATCGCTCTAAAGCAACGAAGCCAACAAGGCATACATATTGGTCAACGATCACGATCGACGACACCTGGAGTCTCTGACGGTAGCTGCTCAATTAATGATATAATATCTAAAAAGTCATTGAACACAGAAGATAATCAGACAAATGGCAAAACAACGCTAAATGCTCAGCAAACTACCCGTGAAGACGTGAATGTACAAAAACAAAAATCCACCGGAAAAGGTTCAGGCGTGCAGCCACGCTCCGTGATTCGAACTGACCTTGAAAGCAAATCAATCAGTCTGAAAAACCAATGTTCTCAAGACAGAAGCTCAAGGTCACGGTCGACAACACCTAGCGCGTCTTCTGTTTCATCTGATAGTAGCTGCTCTAAAACTACAAAATTACCAAGCAAAACATTTGATATAATTCCAAAAAATGTCAAGCGAATAAAAAATGATAAAAGTTCACAGCATAAAGGTTTTAAATCAAATCAAGATTCAAAACTGAATAAACTACCAGAACGAAAATTAAAGACATCAAAGAAAACTATCGAAAAGGAAAAATCAATAAACAGGGATTTTGGCACTCATGTGACATCGACAAAGTTAAAAAGCAATGATAAAGCTAATGAAACAGGACAAATGTTAAAGAGAGTTTCTAAATCTAAATCAAGATCCACCACCCCTGAAATATCATCTATGTGCTCCAGTCACAGCAAATCTAGCTCACCAAATATTCCACAGAGTGTAAAAGAAGTTCCCAAAGTCAAAAGTCCAACAGGAACTCATAAATCAAATATTCAATCCGCCTTAATATCGTCACCATCAGGATCTTTAAGCGGTAAAGGTGATACATTATCTACAAATAAGATAAAGATGAATAAACCAATGAAAAAGAAAGAGAAATCACCGGAAATAATTTCTGTGGATAGTACTAAAAATAATTTAAAACTAACGACATTACACTCCAATCGAAACAGCTCCAGGAAAGATGGCACAGTCAGTAGAGACTTTAACTCACGCTCGCAATCAAACACTCCGAGAATGTCCCCATCGTCACCCATTTGCAATACTATATCGAATTTGGATCAAGTTGACTCTGAAACAAGTCGCATCTGAAACGAGTCGCATAAAAACCGGAATAAATAACAAAGCAGGCATAGATACACGTGTAAAATCAAATGTAGCTACATCAGTTTCTTCGGAGCAACATGACGCAAAACAAGAATCGCCTTCCAAAGATACTAGTGCAAAGGTAAAACCACGGGTTGATACGCGACCTCTAGCTTCGAAGTATTCGTCCATTAAATCAAATGTGACTTCTAAACCAAAATCAAATACATCAGTTTTACGCCATCAGAATTCTAAGACCACCTCTGAAATTGACAGGAAATCGCGATCGCGATCTTCAACTCCAGGTACGTCCTCTTGTAATATACGGACGATGTCATCTTCTGAATTACAATATGAACAAGAAAAGAAGCCCATATCCAGTCATACAAGAAGTGAAGCCAAATATGGACGCATTTCTAAAATACCTAGAGAGATATCTGCGAAATCGAAAATATGTAAATCTAACAATCGTACATCACAAAAACAGGACAAGATAACACCTGTTGCTGCGGACAATTCAAATGTCAATAATAAACAACCTGAATTACGTATTTGTCAGTCGACTGAATGTCATAAACATGAACAAGGAAATGATCAATCAGATCAATTAGACAAAACATGTACTGCGTCTAGTATTAATAGCATTTCAAGGCCTGTAACTAGATTAAATTCCACGCATCACATTAGAGAGAGTTGCAATTCTTTTACCACAATATCGGAAAATTCAAAACGTCCATGTTCAGAGAGCAAGGTGGCATCGAGAGTATTAAGTAGTGAAAATAACGGCGGTAACAAAATAAAAACGCTATCTACACAAGAGACGGTTAAACCGATAATGGAATTGTCAGAATTATCTGTTAAGTCTGACTTACGGATAAAAACTGGCAAAATACGAAATTCTGTAAAAAATAAAAATACTCCTCAAGTACAGACATCTTCAGAAAATAGAATTCGACCAGAAATTGGGAGTAGAAATACTCGAAATAAAGCCATCAAAACACTGACTTCCGATAATAAATTAAGGCAAACACAACGAATGTCTGCCATTAAAAGAGACTTTTCTTCAACAAAGCCTTCTTTTAAATCAGGAGAAAGGGTAACAAGTAAACAAAGCAGCCAATTATCGGGGAAATTAACAGTCTGTAATGTAAATTCTAAAATTCAAAATGAAGATGTTTGCAATGCCGGTGGGCTAATTGGGGAAGAGTCGTTACAAATAATGGAAGTAAAGGAAGTAAGTTTATGTTTTTCAGATAAACAAAACTGTGAAATAAAAGAAATTACAAAATTGGATTTAACTGAAAATATTGAAAATGAAACTACCAACAAGCAAAGTGCTCATCTTCAAGAATTAAAATCGGGCACAATCGATAATCATGAAAATAGTGAAGGATTATTAGTACAGACTTTGAATCCTCTTCATGTAAATAAAAGCAATTGCTCCTCAGAGAACAAAACTGGAATAAAACCTGAAAATGTAAATTGCACGTTTTTTAATTTAGAAAAATATCAATATTCTGCATGTGATAAATGCAGAGACATTCATTCCAGTGACCGCGAAGCAAATGCGCGTGACCCCATACCTAAGGTCATAAGTAATTGCTTATCGGATGTGCGTGAAAATGAGATACAGAGAGTGAATTGTGAAATATATACTGGAATGAATACAGGGCAAAACACAATTACAAACTGCGAATGTGAAAAAGTGTCGTTCTCAAACAAAAAACATTTATTGAACCAGATAAACGAAACGGATCTTAAAACGCATGATACTGCGCAAGAAATGGAATCTAAAAAAATGAAACATTGCAGTAATTGCACTGTGCAAAGTAATAACACCATGCCATATGTGTCTGAAAGTGGAGATTATTTTTTCTGTGAGTCTTGCAAAGGTGTTAAAGAAAATGACAGCGATACTATATTATTTAACAAAAAAGGCATGACAGTAAAAAATAATACAACTTGTAAATGTGATGGAAATTGTAATAATTATGAACACATTGTTAAAAAATCGGGACAGCAGAGTTTTCATGATTCTATATGTCATCCGGATCAGAAAAACCAAAATTCAACATCTAAAATAGATACATATGATGTAAACAGTTCAAACGAAATGCCAATCACCGAGGGGTGTGCTTTCAAACTTACAGATTTAAGCGATCCTCAGGAAGATAAGGCAAAATGCACTCATGCAATGCCAGTCACAGGTGCCGTAAGCTTTCAGTCTACAAATAAAAGACAAGATAAAAAGATTGCGTCTTTATCGAATTGTGGGAAACGTAATATCGCGTTGTGTAGCAACAAGAATTGTTTATTACGTGATTCTGATAAAGACATTGTCCCTCATTTCGACAAAAATTGTGAAAGTGCAATAACGGTACAAGCTGTAACAAGCATGGAGAGTGGGAATGACAAAGATGTCGTTATATCATCTTCTATGACACCTTTATTTTCAGATTTTGAAACAAACAAAAATGCAAATGAAGTAATGTCACCTCAAAGTTGTGAAAGTTCTGTAGATTCTGAGCAAAATATATCGGATTGGCATAACGCAGAAATATTGGATATTATATCTGTAGAAAATGAATCAAAGCTACAGGTGATGAACAAATGTGAAATTAACAAAGAAATTTCCGAGCCAAAAAACCTTTGTGAAAATTTAGATAGTCGCGATAATTTGTCTGGTGATGATATGAAGAATGTACGAAAATTAGAAAATGTAGAGCCGTATACAGACGGAATAAATAGCCATGACTTTGATTGTGGAATTATAAAGGATCTAAAGATAGATATTGATATAGGGAATACAGCTTATTTACAATTAGACACTTTAAAGCAAGAATCTCCGAAAACCACCATTAATGACGCTGATCAGATACAACATTGTTGTGATATTGAAATTTGTGATTTGTGTGACGGAAATGACAAAGAAAATGACAAAGACATATCATGCAAACTGTTTCAGCATGCACCTTTAGAGGAAAGTGATGTTTTAGCAGGGTCACGACAGGAAAACACATTAACGTGCAGTTCAAAAAATGTTCCCGGCATAAGTTTTACCGATAATGAAAATTGTTTACCTGAACGAAATTCCCGAACAACGGATGTTAAATTAATTAGTAGTGATGATGACCTATCACTGCACACTAAATTTATTGGTAGAGATGAATTTACAAAATCTACTGAATTATGTCACAATGGATTATTGCAAAGCAGTGAACAAATTACGACAAAAAGCGACAAAAGTTTGGAAATAGACTCAAAGACCTCGGAAGATGCTATTTATGGCATTTTGCCGGACAAACAATTCTTACAAAGTCAATTACAAAGATTCAAGCCAGGTGGAGTTCTGTCAGAAGTTGAGCTGAGAAAAGATATGACCTGTAAACCTTATGTTTTAGAAGCCCAAGAGAAACAAACTAATTGTTTTCATTACGGAAATGATTCCGAGTGTTTGTTTGTACAAGAGTCAACTACAGAAGATGAGCTTTTTATGTTGCATTGCGAACATGAGGATAAATTTCAGCAGAAAGAAAATGATATTCTTATTGGCGGACAAAACAATTATTTTCAAGACAATGGATATTTAGTAAATGATTCAGGTAATTATGAGAAAAATATTTTTTCCATCGATACAATGAATGAAAAACAAAGCAAAACTGTTCCAGATTTAAACAGTAGCTCGTTTTGTAATATTCCAAAATTATCTGTTATGCTATGTGAAATGTACCCAAATTTAAAAGAAAAAAATGAAATGTGCATTGGATCGAGCAATAAAAACGAAATAAACTACAAAGATAGGCGATGTTCAAACATGACGCAAAATGCCAGTTTGGATACCTGTTCCTTAAATATGAAATTAAATGATAGCGCCTGTTTATTTCAAAGTTATACACAGTTAGACAGAGATGATATCAAACTATCTGCTGAATGCCTACATTGTGCTGACTTATCGCAGGTTCCTGAAAACATTTCAAACAGTTATTCAAAAAAGCTGCACTCTCAAGATGATTTAACGGAGGCAAATTCCACAGAGCACGGATCATTGAAAATTACGGGAAATAAATTATGCACTGGTTCTTTACCGTGTGATGGAAATAACGAAAAGATAAGCACTCATATAAATTTGAGTAAATCAACAGAATATCCGGATTTAAACGACTTATCTTTATCCTTTGATGTTCACGAAAATATTAATTCTGGGTGGACTATGTCACGTGACAGTACGCACGTGGCGGCAGCAGGCACCGATTTAAGCTCGGAACTTTCCGCTAACTTGACCGACAGCGAAACACTTAAAAATCATAATCCTGGCTTAAATCAAGATTGTTATGAAGATAAGAAATACGGCGAGTTATCGGCAGTTAAAATTACTACACAGAAAAGTAGCTGTAATCTAAAGTTTTCAGAAAAATCCAACGAACCGAAAGATCTCCTGTTGAGATATGAGCACCACAAAAAATCAGCGGGCCATAAGAAAATTTATTCTTGCAAAGATGAACTTGATATCAGTATCGCTAGCACACAGGAAGAATATAATTTTAGAAATCTGGCAGCTATTCGTGACGAGGATATCAATTGTGAAATTAAATTAAATAATATAAATTTAGAAACACCTAAACATTGTGTTTCTTCTTCCTTGGAAAGTGCACATTCGGCTGGGAAAGTAATTTCAACAGGTATACAGGGACAATGCAGTGAAATAGAAACAAATATTTGCTCAGTGGGCAATGAGAAATATTTTGAAACGCCCGATAAACCTTTAATTGGACAATTTAATTCTGATCAGGAAAGTAACTTTGTGTTTGCTAGCAAAGGGGACTTATTTATCAAAGAAACAAAATTATCATGCGATAATGATGTTTTTAGTGAGGATATCAGATTATCATGCGCTTATCCGAAACATGGGTCAGATACAGATAATCTGCAAAATCAAAATGTAAAAAACGGATTATTACAGGAAAATTCAATTAAGACAGACATATGCCAAACAGAACGGGATGTTA